TATTTGTGCCAAGGTCGACAAAAGTGTCCCGAGACACTGACGGGTTTTACGAACGGAAGTAACATAGAAATCCAAGGTCACTCAAATGTTGTCATCAATATTCCCCCCCCCCCCCCTTTTTCCCCCTTTTTTTTTTACGTGGATTCAAGTGCCGCACAGGAGGAGGTGGTAGAACTCCCCCCCCCCCCTCCCCACCCTACCAGCATTTCGTAAAAGGCGACCGAGGTTTTCCTGAAATAGTTTTGAGCAGATATTACAGCACAGAATCTCTACCGCTCTCTGAAAAGCAAGAACATATGGAAGTTTATAAAAGTATACCATGCTCGTTCGTTAGATCTGTATGGCTGGATGCCCACTTGAAAGTATAGGTCCAACAGGAAGTTGTTAGTGGACATTTGCTAAAGAAACACGAAGCGGCTTTGAGAGTTCAGTAACAATGTGCGTACGATGAGGCGTGATTATTCGCAGATGACAGATTCAAATCCCTTGGTGGTTACTAAAAACTTTCAATTTTATGTTTTTGAATTGCTAACTATCATCTCAGTTTCTTTTCTATACTTCTTCTAGAGCAAATTAATACACGAGAATTTATTTTTTATTATCGCTTGTCTTCACCAACACAGAAAAATGGACAGGGGTGTGCATTTGATTTGATTTGATTTGATTCAAGAACCGACATCACAGCACTCGGAGCATTCCCATAAGCGCTCCGTCCCCATCTTCAGCAGCCAACGAAGAGTTCCAATAATAATGGTGCCAGTAGCATTCTGATTAAACGTCCATCTTGACATTCCTCTGAGCCTCGAGCATCTGCCATTCTTCTTCTTCTTCTTCTTCTTCTTCTTCTTTCCTCTTCTTCTTCTTCTTCTGCTGCTGCTGCTGCTGCGTTCGACAACAGTCATGCTAAACATTGAGTCCCGTTTGGGTCACAGATAGGATTGTGCGTTTAAGGTCGCCACCGGTTCCCCATAGCTTCTCTTTCAATGTGGCTCCCTTAGACCAAATCGCTAGTGCGAAGATGTCCTATTTTTAGTCCCGTGCCAAGTAGGCTGACATCTTCCGACTTCGACGGTTGAGGTTTATTTTCAGGATTTCTCCTCCCATAGGCTGATTTCCTTCCAGGACTTATGAGCTCTGCCTACCCACATTTTCTGTCGGGCTTTGTTGCCCGAGCCTTTGTTCTTACGGGAACCTCCCACAAGGCAGTGAGCATGTGCCAGAACCTATCGTCACCCCCAACTGCATCAATCTCACCAGACTGTGGTGATACAGCTGCTCCTCCGTATTGTACACGCTCTCCCACAAGGCACTAACCACGTCTGCCTTATCATGTATCAGTATATCACCACGTTGTGCAGTGCCAGCCAGTCTGTATGCTTGTTCATTTCCCAACACACCGGCGTGGCCCGGTGAAAAAATCCAGACAATACTCCTCACTCGTGTCCTCCGCAGCGAAGCATGCCACTCTGCACGAAGCATACCTGTTCTGATCTTCCTCAGCATGCTTTCTGAATCAGTTACAATCACAATGTGTGTGTGTGTCGTGTTCTCTAGCTAGCGGAAAGCTGCAGTGACCGCCTCCACCTCCATTTTTAAGCTGGATGTTGTGGTATTATATGCTAGGCTCTCCTGCACCAAAAGTCGACCATTAACTTTGGCTAAGAAGCCCCAAGCACTTCTTTTGCCTCTTGACACTGAACCGTCTGTGTAAATGATCAAATCCTCTGAGCGAGCATTATTTTGAATTAATTGCTGAATTTCCACCTCTGTGGCACCTGCTGGCCAGTCTCCGCGTGATTATGACACAAGTTTGACTGTTCAGGTGGCACTTTGACCCACTCCTCTCCTCACCTAATGTTCTCAAGGATGCAAACCTGTCTGATTGTGTCTTCTGCCTGGGCCATCCATGACCTCCCTCTTATCAGCCGCTGACTCTTAACTGCACCCAGAGCTTCATGCAGAGGGTTATCTGTGTCTGCAGCTACCCTGAGATATGACTTCGCCTGCAGCACCTTGTACCAACCTGCAACCGTCGGCAAACCAAGGATGTATCGCATACACGCCACTGGGGTGTCTCTAGTGCAACCCAGAATGACCCGCAAAGCCGCGTTCTGTATGCGCTCTAGTTTGTCCATCTGACTCTTTGAGCTAACAGGTTCCATCCACCCGGAGAAAAGGGTTATAGCGCCCCCAAGTGAAGTGAGTTATCAGTGAACTGTAGAAGGAAATAATTATAGAGATAAATAATAATATTGGGGCAGAGTGGGCGGATCTACGGGTGACGACAGTTAACTGAACAACCCCGAATGCGTAGACTGAAGGTGTATGTTCTAACATGGACAAAAGACATCAGAAGAAGGCACAAGGAGTTAAAAGCAAAGGGATGTGAAATGGAAGCTTAAAAGGACGATATACATATAAATTGTTTAAAGGTCTAACTATGAATTGTGAAATAAGATTCGACACCATATAACTCAGCATATTCCCATAAGCACCCTGTCCCCCATCTCCAGCAGCAACTGCAGAGTTTCAATTCCGCCGGCACAAGTAACAGTCCGACTGTATCTGGCTATTTCTTTATTTTAACAATCCAGCCAGTGTTGCCACTTTTCTTTGACAAAAAAATATCCAAAACGGTGTCAAAAAATATCTTAAAAGATCTAAATCTGCGTGGAAAAGATCTAGAAAAAACATCCAAATTGAAAAAGTCAAAAATTACATAGCTTTTGTTATGACTTACCCTACATAATCATGTCCTCACCTTCACTGATGTCTGCCTCACAAGATCCACAGGATAAACTTAGCTTGGATAATGAAGTTGAAGTTTCAGATCCAAAATGACCCTGGTATGCTTTAGCTGTTCAAATTTCTTTATAAGTGGAACAGTAGGCTTATTTCTCTAGTCTCATCAGGCCGAATTTTAATAGCACGATAGCATTTATGAGGTCAAATTTCATCCTGTATTTTATGTTAGATTCGATATAATTCCTAGCACTTAAAACTCTTTCTACGTCAGCATTTGAGTGGGGTAGTATCATGGCAGACATGGCACTTTAAAGAGCTTACAGAATGGACTGTTTGATGAGGCATCTTTAAATTGTCTCACTTTGCTCCAAAACGCTTTAGTTTCTGTTTTGTTTGTACATTCAGCTAACTTTATTTTGGTTAACTGATATTCTGCTTCCGCGACACTATTTTCAGTAGCCCCTAAAAATTTCATAACTTTACAATATTTAGGTATGTCCTTTATGGCTGAAGTATGTTGCTCACAGAAAAAAGTGAAATATCTGTAAAAACATCTAGATTTTCAGGAAGTCTCTGCTTCAATTGCTTCAATAATGAGATAAGGAAATCTTGACAGCGTTTTTTTTAAGTTGTTCTCTTCATTCTCTGTTAACAGTCCTTTTGCTTTTAAATCATCAATTTTTGATTCGATTTAATATCCAAGGTGTGGCTTAGGAGCCAAATAGCTCTCTATAGTGCAAGTGAGCAAATCAGATTTAAAAGTTGGCAACACCAGTCTTTTACCAACTGAGTGAAATAGCAAGGTGAGATCATAAAGTAATTTAACTTTATCAACAAGTTTAGATTCGAACAGTTTATTAACTTTTTGCACTTCCATTAGAATAGGTTATAAAAAGAGAATGAATGACAGAAAATTTTTTTATCACTGTACATTCCATTCACTGTGCAGCGCTTTTCACTTTGTCTTGTTATTTCAAAGTGTGTCTTCAAGTTCAGCCATTGCTTCATAATTCTTTCAACAGCTGGTTAAATTGATAACCATCTAGTTTTGCAATCTGACAGAATTTTTGGTGGTGTGGAACCATCATTCAAGGCTGTATATAATGTATTGTATTGCTGTTGTCTGACAAATGATTTGGAAAACCAGTAAAGCGTTTCAGCAATAAGGTATTCCAAATTCCTTGGTAAATATTTAGATGAAGCATGAGATAATGCTAGCTGCAATGAATGACGCATACATTTTATAAGTATTAACGATGGGTTAGCTTCCTTCAACTTGGCATAAACGCCATTGTTTATACCAACCATCACTGAGGCATTATCAGTACCAATTACAGCCAAATTCTTCAAGCCCAACTGTTTGCTGATTAAAAGGTCCTTCAGTTCCTAAACTATACTTTCTACACCACACTTTTCAAATTGAACTAGTCCAAGATTTTTTACAAATCGATCAAAAATGGTCACAGTTTGAAATTTTGCAGTGACAAATTAAAAAACATTGCGACTGATACTTCAACTTTTGATGATTCATTTATCAGTATAGTTCTGAAAACAGATGTCAGCGGTGTAATATCTTTAAATGAAACTGCAGTTTTATGCTTTTTTAGTCTCTGCATGACTCTTTGAGTTTTGTATTTTCGCTTTAATTTCACACTTGCAGTACTTACAACAAGCTTTGGTCATATCCCCAGTTTTTAATTTTGTCATCATGCAAAAACACTTTCCAATTTTTTTGCTCATACTTTCTTTTGGCATGTTGAAAGGTTATTTCAAAGTGAAAGCCACATAAGAAGGTGAGCAATTATTTCTTTAAATCACATGAAAAAGAAACGCAAAGTCAGCACAGTGAGGATACGGTTGAAACAAAGTTAGTATGATTTACGAGCGTTTTTATTAATCAGTACCGGGGCTACCAGATATTTGTGCGTTGACCCCAGTGAGTGTTCAAAGTTCAAGTAATGGCAGTTGTCACAATGTACGTACCAGACCAAAACAAAAATGTTGTAGTAAATATTTTACACAGTAATTATTAAATTGACAATGAAAGAAAAAAAAATCTATAAAATATCAAACTTCATATGAAAAGAATCTAGAAAAATATTTACGATCTAAACGTCAAAAACAATATCTAAATGCAATGAAAAAGATCTAAATTTGGATATAAAAGATCCAAAGTGGCAACACTGAATCCAGCCCGCCCCAATCCCGGGTAGCCACTTCCGGCGTCCACAGTTATTTACTGCGGGATGGCAATCATGGCGCCGTCTGCTGGTTACACTAGCATCCCAGCTTTTCTGTGCCTCATATTTGTCTGGGCAACCACTGCCTCGGGAACTCCAAAGGATATATTTACTGAAGAATTATTTATAAAACCATTATCTCGTGGTTATGTATATTCGCATTTTCAGTTTACTACGAAATGGAACGCATCGATTCACGATTCCAACACTTGTGAGTGTGTGTTGTCTGCACTCTGACTGTCTCTGTGATTCCATTCTTTCCTGTTAGACTTATATTGACTGGCTTGTGGTTGTTTCCGCGCTGTGTTGATTAGTTATGTTGGTGGTCTTAGTCTGACTAGTCTCATTGTCAGAGAATACCGAGCACCCTTTTCGATATTTAAACCACCCAGCAAACATGTAACGCTGTTGATCTGATCAGAATTGAGAATGAACTAGCTGACTGTCTCCCCAGACACCGTTAATTTTTAATTAATTTAACTTAAATTTTAAGGCGCCGGCGTTTTTCTCAGATTAAATAGTTCATTATAGATTATAATTTATGTTATGCATAGTAAATGAATAGAGGAGTACGTGTAGAAGAAATAGATTTATCACCGCCTCATTTAAGATGTACGTGTACGTCAGTTTCTGTAGAGGAAGTTGCACGTAAATCAAGTAAATGCAACAGCAACAGTGTAGAGATTTTGAGTAGAGTTTATTAATGCTTGCCAGCTGGAACATTTGTGCCATACACCCGGACCACAGCGTTACATTGTTGGCGACTGGAAGGGCATGTTTGTATCACCATGATACAGAAAAGTCCAATATTGTTGAATGTTGAATTAGCTCTTTGAGTCCCAGGGAACGCATCATACGTTCATAAGTTCTTACCTAGAAGCCCAATGAAAGCATGATGTGTCGATTTTAGTCTCTCTTTACTGCCCACTGGGCCTGTGATTATAAACCCCCTGGGACTCAAAGAGTTAAGAATCGACATCATCGCACTCAGGACACCTCTTTTAGCGCTCCCTCCTCATCTTCAGATAATACTATGTTAGGACAGTAGCATTCATCATTGTACTGGTGATATTAGCTGTATTTTTGTTTCCTTTCAGTTCGCCATTATCGACTTTTCCCGAAAGCTCTGGGAGAAGTCTTGGCCAAATATGGTGTACAGGAGTTGCACTTGTCTCAAACCCAGGGCCTGTGGCGACACAAGTTCTGGGGCTACCCAGTTCACGATGCCCCACCAGGTGCGGAGTTATGGGTATGGTTTAAACCCACGGTCAAAGAGTAAGGGCTTTTATATTTCTTTGTGTTGTTGTTGCATATTCTCTTTTACCCTTCTAGTAGATGGATTTTATTATTCTGAGAGAGTAGACACCAAGCTAGATAATGGATATTTGTGGTTCTGTAGCTATTCATGGCTTTAAATATCTTGACAGAAGCTAATCAGTTAAACAAACTTGGAACATGGGAGCAGGAAGCGGATGACAACACTCCAAGAATTGTGTTCTGACCTTCGCCTGCTTTATAGTCTTATATGACATGCTTTAATAACAATCAGTGAACATATTAGGGAATCAGAGTGGCTTGTCTCTCTGACACAGTTTATTGAGGGTTCATTCAGCTTTTGACATTACTTTAAGAGAAGTACTTCCTGAGCAGCTTGGCTGTATATACTTCCCTCCACTGAGTCAGTCAAGAATTGACATCACTGCACTCAGGGCATTCCCATACGGGCTCTGTCTCCTTCATTAGTCAGCAGTGAAGAGTTCCCATACTGATGGTTCCAGCTGCAACCTGATTAAAGGTTAGCCTGTCTTTCCCTGCAGGTAGAAAATGGCAGACTCCCAGCTGAATCATTCTCCCCACTCTGCCTGCAGGTTCTGGGGCCTTGTGTTAGGAAAACAAGATTAAACCCACTGCCTCCCCAACAATCATGTTGTAAGAGTTGACTAATTGGGGGATTCCTTTGAAGTCTTAGTGCATCCACCTGACAGGTAAGGAACTAACAGTTTGCATTCAGATAAGCTAGATGTGTGAAACAGATGGGCATGCAGCACTCAGATTCTGGAACAAGATGAAAGGCCAGAAGTAAACCAACACCGGAGAAGAAGATTATCACCACAGTTCCCTCCCTCTTCCCTCCAATCACGGGCTAGAATAGATAGAACAGTGCTGGCCCAGATGTCACATTGAAACCAGACAAATTCACCACGTTTAGGGCATGTATCTATTTCCATCTCCAGTTTTCCATACAGAGTTGAAAGAAGAGAGAGAAACTAACAACAATGATTGCAGGCATTTGTTTTAAAAATGTTCTTAAATCTTGAACTATCTGTGATTCATTCTTCCAGCTACCCGCTGATGCTGGAAGCTTCTGAATGCACACTTATCCATCGCCCCTCTCTCTCTCTCTCTCTCTCTCTCTCTCTCTCTCTCCAGCTACCCCCTGATGCTGGAAGCTTTTAAATGCACACTTGTCCACCCAGTGCCTCTACAGCTTGAAATGTTGGAGGGGTTTGTGTGTTCTAGTGATCCCCAGAGCTATGCCTATGGTAACTTAGGAAACTGCATGGGGTGGGAGAGCTGGCCAGAGACAGTTTCAGTCTGGCTGTGATGGGAGTGTCATTCACTAATGTAATGTTGTGAATTCCCGGCGAAATCCCAGAGAGTTCCAGATGGGGAGGACAAGGTCAGAGGACCAGTGATACAAGAGAAAAACAAGATAAGTGGGTCTCATCTATCCCATGGTGAGCGAAATAAGGGATACAAGAAAAGCGTGAGACTGGAACGGAAGACGTGAACCGAGAGACGGTAGTAAGACAGTTGAACTTCGGACCTGGTTGCGAGAGGTCATATGAGGAGAATGAAGGAATTGTGAATACTTGTTATGTTTCGAGAGGATATATGAATGTTTCCTACATGTCTTAATACCGAGTACAAGGTTTCGTTGAAGCATGGATGGAAGATTCGAAAGACGCTGATGGATCGATGTAGTGTGTGAGAAGTTTGACCAGGCAGCCAGAATCAGCCTAGCAGAACGAACACGAGGACAGGAGAATGTGTGCCTACGATAGGTTGTGATTCAGCGAATAAAAGCATGTAACTCAATATTCGTCTCTGCTGTGTCGTAACAACTTACTGTTTGTCAGAAAGCAATGTGGCTTACCAAAACATACCCCTAGCAGAGCACATAGCAACTAAAGCACCTGCGGCAAGATGATGCTGAACTAGGCATATGATGAGGTTTCAGACTGCTGTCGTAGCTGGGGCACGACGGGAGTTAAGGATGAGCTCTCAGCTCTCAGCACATACCTCTAAGGCATGTGCATTCATCACCTCTGACAGCAAAGGTGCAGCTCCTAGCCTTCTGGTGGTGGAACTGTTTAAACCAACAGGAAAAGGGCGACGGCCAGAATCTGGTGCCGTAAAACCAGACAGCTCCTTGAATAAGATCACAGGCTACCCTAGCAAAACAAGGAGCTGAAGATGGAGGCAACCAGCCAGGAGGCGCACCACAGAAATCAGGATGCCACGCATACACGCCATGGAAATATGTCTCAATCAGCAAGCTGTTTGGACATAAAGAACAATAGTGGAATGTAAACTCTTTGGACCACTGAAGGAATACAAAATTGTAGTGAAATCTATACCAGAGACGGAATTGCTGATGTAGACAATTTATTTCAGGTGAACAAAATAAGACCGTGTGATGAATCATTACAAGTGAACCCACTGTATGATGTCACAATGCCACACACACACACACACACACACACATTATTTGAATCCCTGGCATACATTGTATGATACATAACATAACATTTTCAACTAAACTGGATTTTCCTTTGATGTCCAGTATTGACAGGGCATGGACGGAGTTGGTCAATGCTGTGTCTGGTCTCTTCTGCTCCTCCCTCAATTTCCTGGACTCAAAGAACACTGTTGTTCCGCAGTGGAGTTACCGACCTCAAGGTACTGCTGCTCCAGGTTACTCCACATTCTCTTACCATGTGCGGTATGGGGCTTTGCCTCGGGAGATTGTGTGCACAGAGAATCTGACTCCCTGGAAGAAGCTGCTGCCCTGTGATTCAAAGGTAGGAAGTCATTTCAGGGATTGGTAGGTTGCCACATTGTTTGTGGGTGACGGTTGTTGATGTCGAGATTATGGCAGAATTGTGTGTTTGTTTCTAGTTGAGATGGGAACAGAGGAATGTTTGTGGGGGGATGGTTGTTGATGTTGAGATTACAACAGAATTGTGTGTGTGTTTCTAGTTGAGATGGGAACAGAGGAATGTTTGTGGGGGGATGGTTGTTGATGTTGAGATTACAACAGAATTGTGTGTGTGTTTCTAGTTGAGATGGGAACAGAGGAATGTTTGTGGGGGGATGGTTGTTGATGTTGAGATTACAACAGAATTGTGTGTTTGTTTCTAGTTGAGATGGGAACAGAGGAATGTTTGTGGGGGGATGGTTGTTGATGTTGAGATTATGGCAGAATTGTGTGTGTGTTTCTAGTTGAGATGGGAACAAAGAAGTGTTTGTTTCTAGTTGAGATGGGAACAGAGGAATGTTTGTGGGGGGATGGTTGTTGATGTTGAGATTATGGCAGAATTGTGTGTGTGTTTCTAGTTGAGATGGGAACAAAGAAGTGTTTGTTTCTAGTTGAGATGGGAACAGAGGAATGTTTGTGGGGGGATGGTTGTTGATGTTGAGATTACAACAGAATTGTGTGTGTGTTTCTAGTTGAGGTGTGAACAGAGAAATATTTGTTTGTAGGTGATAATTGTTGATGCTGAGATTCCAGCAGAATTGTGTGTGTGTGTTTCTAGTTGAGATGGGAACAAAGAAGTGTTTGTTTATAGTTGAGATGAGACCTTGCCGCACCCCCCCCCCCCCCTCCCCTTTTCTCAGAAATCTGAATGTGTATTTGTGAGACAGAGTGAGACTGAGAGAGAGATGGTAGGGAGAGAGAGCATATTTGTGTGTTGTTGTGTTTGTGGTTGAGAATCAAACAAAGAAGTATATGTGTGTAGCTGAGAGCACAAAAGTTGATTATAACAAAAATAATGACAATGATGGTCAAACATCAGCAAAGACGTAGGAATCTGACAACGGTACTGTCTCCTGCCCTCTACTGTTTCCAACAAGTATCTCACAATGTTCTATGTTCTGACCCCGCCAGGCCGGACTGTCCACGTTGTTTAACGCCTTCCACTTCCACGATGCCAGCTACCACTCTCTTGGACTACATATTCGCCCTGTGTGCGCTGTAAGTGTTTATGTTAATGTTTGGTTTAGTTTTGGTTAAGGTTTTTTTCTGTTGTTTTGGCATTTCTAATGAAAAATTGCTGGTTCCATTCCTGCTACAAACAGTTAGGCAGCAAATTGTTTTGTGTTGATTTCAAAAGCGGTACGGAGCTGCGGCTGTTGAGAGGATAATAGTAAAATGCTAAAACTGGCCAGTAAAACCAAAACATAAAAAAAAATTCTGGGGTGGGGTCGACAACATCCTGACAAGTAAGCACAGCTAACTTAAGGATAACTTTGATTGCATCCAGGTATCTCCGCAAGTGCTTAGTCTTCTTTTATAGATCACACAGGGACAATCTCAGCACTGTGCATGAACTTTGCAACAAAGCTGACTATCAGATATGTGTATGTCAGAATGACATGTACTGTAAGAATTCTGTTTGCTGTAGATGGTTAATTTGAAATATGTGAGTATATGTTTATGTTTTTTTTTAAGATATGAAAGTAACAAAGACATTCTGATAATAATCTTGAGGGAAACAGTACAGAGTTTAAGAATCTCACAAGTGACCAAGATAAGAAAACATTTGTCAGCAGCAGTTCACATAAACATTTGATTGTCTCGTGCAGGACTAGATTTGTGTGTGTGTGTGTGGGTGGGCGAGCTTATGTTATGACACATAAGTGTCTGAAAATTTTGACAATCAGAAAGTTTTTGAGCCTTAAAGACAGAGGTAGGCAGAGTGTAGATATGTTAGCTAGGTGGCATGCATAGCAAATAAGGCCATCAGTGGTCAAGTCATGACCAAAGCGGACATGTATTTGTGGAGGAATATATATATTGGCCTGCACACTTGGCATGGTACATGATGATTATTATATGCAGAGATTGTCTGTGTGCTCATTGATTGGTTGGCATGTTTGTCCACCTTTATGATTGTTTTATAAATCCATTGATTGTTTTATACTGCATTGTTTGATTCACATGGTGGCTAAAAATGCAAGTTGTATGTTTATGACTTTAAGGATGTTGATTGTACGGAGGAAGCCATTGAACTTAGCCAGAGTCTGAGTGTGGTCACAGATGTCATCAGTACAAGCCACACTGGCACACCTAGTGAGTTGTACAAATTAGATCTATTTTGAGCTATTTGTCCGTGGTTTTCTGAGAATCTTTCTGTAGCATTTCAGGTGAAAAGCTCTTTTTTTTTTTTTTCTTCCTTAAAGACTGATAGATTGTTGTCAACTCACATCCGTAGGTTGGTGCAGCATAGATGTATACTCTCAGATTTGCTTGCTGGTGCTTTGCCATAGATACTTAGCCATTGACTTTTAATGTTGTTTACTCTGAGTATTGCTATGGCCATTCTCCTTTTGACTTCTGTTAAACAGTCTCTATTGCTGTTTTTGAGAGACAGACTATAATGCTGCAGACAAGAGTACAAGGAAGTTCCAGTTAGATTTATGGTCAGCTTTTCTCAAAGTGTGTCCTTTTCAGCATCTTTTTGCTCACCCTTTGGTTCTTGCAAATTGTTGAACTCTCTTGTAAAGTTTCACATAGTATTTATTGTCATACCATTTAATTGTCATTATATGTAAATGAGCTTAGTTTATTTAAATGTGACCTGGTCAGCTGCCGACCCCAGCCTCCATCTACTGACTGTGTTTTTTGTGTTGCTGACTGTGTTTGTTGTGTTGCTGACTGTGTTTGTTGTGTTGCTGACTGTGTTTGTTGTGTTGCAGACTGTTTGTTGTGTTGCTGTCTGTGTTTGTTTTGTTGCTGTCTGTGTTTGTTGTGTTGCTGACTGTGTTTGTTGTGTTGCTGTCTGTGTTTGTTGTGTTGCTGACTGTGTTTGTTGTGTTGCTGTCTGTGTTTGTTGTGTTGCTGTCTGTGTTTGTTGTGTTGCTGACTGTGTTTGTTGTGTTGCTGTCTGTGTTTGTTGTGTTGCTGTCTGTGTTTGTTGTGTTGCTGTCTGTGTTTGTTGTGTTGCTGTCTGTGTTTGTTGTGTTGCTGACTGTGTTTGTTGTGTTGCTGTCTGTGTTTGTTGTGTTGCTGTCTGTGTTTGTTGTGTTACTGACTGTGTTTGTTGTGTTGCTGACTGTGTTTGTTGTGTTACTGACTGTGTTTGTTGTGTTGCTGACTGTGTTTGTTGTGTTGTTGACTGTGTTTGTTGTGTTGCTGTCTGTGTTTGTTGTGTTTGTTGTGTTGCTGTCTGTGTTTGTTGTGTTTGTTGTGTTGCTGTCTGTGTTTGTTGTGTTGCTGTCTGTGTTTGTTGTGTTGCTGACTGTGTTTGTTGTGTTGCTGACTGTGTTTGTTGTGTTACTGACTGTGTTTGTTGTGTTGCTGTCTGTGTTTGTAGTGTTGCTGACTGTGTTTGTTGTGTTGCTGACTGTGTTTGTTGTGTTGCTGACTGTTTGTTGTGTTGCTGTCTGTGTTTGTTGTGTTGCTGACTGTGTTTGTTGTGTTGCTTACTGTGTTTGTTGTGTTGCTGACTTGTTGCAGACTGGAGCTTGCGCAGCCTCTTTGGGAATCACCTGGCCTCCACCTGTCCTGTGGCAGCCAAGAGCACTATTTTTGTGGAGCTGACTAAAAATGAGGTAGGCAGGTGAGGTTAGTTTTGTGTGTAACCAGCAGTGGGATAGACTGAGATGAAGTAGACAGGTGAGGTTAAGTGTGTGTGTAACCAGCAGTGGGATAGACTGAGATGAAGTAGACAGGTGAGGTTAAGTGTGTGTGTAACCAGCAGTGAGATAGACTGAGATGAAGTAGACAGGTGAGGTAAAGTGTGTGTGTGTAACCAGCAGTGGGATAGACTGAGATGAAGTAGACAGGTGAGGTTAAGTGTGTGTGTAACCAGCAGTGGGATAGACTGAGATGAAGTAGACAGGTGAGGTAAAGTGTGTGTGTGTAACCAGCAGTGGGATAGACTGAGATGAAGTAGACAGGTGAGGTTAAGTGTGTGTGTAACCAGCAGTGGGATAGACTGAGATGAAGTAGACAGGTGAGGTTAAGTGTGTGTGTAACCAGCAGTGGGATAGACTGAGATGAAGTAGACAGGTGAGGTTAAGTGTGTGTGTAACCAGCAGTGGGATAGACTGAGATGAAGTAGACAGGTGAGGTAAAGTGTGTGTGTGTAACCAGCAGTGGGATAGACTGAGATGAAGTAGACAGGTGAGGTTAAGTGTGTGTGTAACCAGCAGTGGGATAGACTGAGATGAAGTAGACAGGTGAGGTAAAGTGTGTGTGTGTAACCAGCAGTGGGATAGACTGAGATGAAGTAGACAGGTGAGGTTAAGTGTGTGTGTAACCAGCAGTGGGATAGACTGAGATGAAGTAGACAGGTGAGGTTAAGTGTGTGTGTAACCAGCAGTGGGATAGACTGAGATGAAGTAGACAGGTGAGGTTAAGTGTGTGTGTAACCAGCAGTGGGATAGACTGAGATGAAGTAGACAGGTGAGGTTAAGTGTGTGTGTAACCAGCAGTGGGATAGACTGAGATGAAGTAGACAGGTGAGGTTAAGTGTGTGTGTAACCAGCAGTGGGATAGACTGAGATGAAGTAGACAGGTGAGGTTAAGTGTGTGTGTAACCAGCAGTGGGATAGACTGAGATGAAGTAGACAGGTGAGGTTAAGTGTGTGTGTAACCAGCAGTGGGATAGACTGAGATGAGGATTTCAGTGTATGTCACCAACATTGATATAGACTGAAGTAATGAGTTAAATGTACTTGTATGTAACCAACATTGATATAGACTGAAGTAATGAGTTAAATGTACTTGTATGTAACCAACATTGATATAGACTGAAGTAATGAGTTAAATGTACTTGTATGTAACCAACATTGATATAGACTGAAGTAATGAGTTAAATGTACTTGTATGTAACCAACATTGATATAGACTGAAGTAATGAGTTAAATGTACTTGTATGTAACCAACATTGATATAGACTGAAGTAATGAGTTAAATGTACTTGCATGTAACCAACATTGATATAGACTGAAGTAATGAGTTAAATGTACTTGTATGTAACCAACATTGATATAGACTGAAGTAATGAGTTAAATGTACTTGCATGTAACCAACATTGATATAGACTGAAGTAATGAGTTAAATGTACTTGTATGTAACCAACATTGATATAGACTGAAGTAATGAGTTAAATGTACTTGTATGTAACCAACATTGATATAGACTGAAGTAATGAGTTAAATGTACTTGTATGTAACCAACATTGATATAGACTGAAGTAATGAGTTAAATGTACTTGTATGTAACCAACATTGATATAGACTGAAGTAATGAGTTAAATGTACTTGTATGTAACCAACATTGATATAGACTGAAGTAATGAGTTAAATGTACTTGTATGTAACCAACATTGATATAGACTGAAGTAATGAGTTAAATGTACTTGTATGTAACCAACAGTGTTGTTTTGAGGAGCAGTTGGTAAGAATACTGGACGTTCATGTCATAAACTCAGGTTTAAATCCTCAATGAGATGGAGGTTTTTTCTGCCAGGAGCAAAAATAATCTGCACAGTCTGTGGCAACTGCACTAATGATACAGCACCAAATCCTCATGATCAAGACCCTCCTGCCTACTGTGCCTTTAAAAATAAAAAAAGTGGTACATACCGGCAGTAACAACAATGAGATAGATGGAGGAGTTATATCTGTGGAACCCAGTGTGCAATGATGAGCTGTGTGAACAAATGTACCTGAAACAATGTTTCATATTTAATCAGTCTTGTTATACACACAGGACTCGCACATGTACAGGCTGACCCCTGACCCTTCATCGACTGAGAAAGTCACCAGAGGTCCCGACCAGCACACATACGCAGTGTATGATGTGCAGTCGTTGATGAAGTCAGGCCGAGTGTTGAACATCGCAGCCACATTTAGGGATCCTCCAGTTTTGTTGAGTGTGGAACCTCCACCCATACACGTCCATCGGTACATTACTGGTCAGTGCTTTTCTTGTCATAAATTACATTAGTGATTGGTTACACTAGTGCTTGATTACATTAGTGATTGATTACACTAGTGCTTGATTACATTAGTGATTGGTTACAGTAGTGCTTGTTTACATTAGTGATTGATTACACTACTGCTTGATTACATTAGTGATTGGTTACAGTAGTGCTTGATTACATTAGTGATTGGTTACAGTAGTGCTTGATTACATTAGTGATTGATTACACTAGTGCTTGATTACATTAGTGATTGGTTACAGTAGTGCTTGATTACATTAGTGATTGGTTACACTAGCCCTTGATTACATTAGTGATTGGTTACAGTAGTGCTTGATTACATTAATGATTGGTTACACTAGTGCTTGATTACATTAGTGATTGGTTACACTAGTGCTTGATTACATTAGTGATTGGTTGCAGTAGTGCTTGATTACATTAGTGATTGGTTACACTAGTGCTTGGTTACATTAGTGATTGGTTACACTAGTGCTTGATTACATTAGTGATTGGTTACACTAGTGCTTGATTACATTAGTGATTGGTTACAGTAGTGCTTGATTACATTAGTGATTGGTTACACTAGTGTTTGGTTACATTAGTGATTGGTTACACTAGTGCTTGATTACATTAGTGATTGGTTACACTAGTGCTTGATTACATTAGTGATTGATTACACTAGTGCTTGATTACATTAGTGATTGGTTACACTAGTGCTTGATTACATTAATGATTGGTTACACTAGTGCTTGATTACATTAGTGATTAGTTACACTAGTGCTTGATTACATTAGTTATTGGTTACACTAGTGCTTGATTACATTAGTTTTTGGTTACACTAGTGCTTGATTACATTAGTTATTGGTTACACTAGTGCTTGATTACATTAGTGATTGGTTACACTAGTGCTTGATTACAGTAGTGCTTGGTTACAGTAGTGCTTGATTACACTTAACTTGATTATAGAGGTTTTGATTACATTAGCAATAGAAGAACTCTAGACTTGATCAAAGATTTGCTTACATAAGTGCTTGATTACATTGGTTATTGATGACACTAATCTTGATTAAAGGTGTTTGATTACTCAGTGGTTGATTACATTGATGATTGATGACACTAAACTTGATTTAAGGTGTTTTGATTACATTAGTGCTTGATTAAATCAGGGCTTCTTCTTCATCTTCTTCAATTGCAGGTTTACCGGCTGTAAACTCAGGCAGAAAGCTGTGGTTGTTCATCCGTTTCTGGACTTCAGTCTCGTTCCAGAAATTTAGTTTTTGTTCTGCACATCTGTTTTACAGATCTGTTTATTTGTATGCAGACTATTGGTTCCTTGGTTCCTCCCCTCGTGGGCAGATGCACTCCAACATTAAAGGAAACACCCTACCTAATCACACTTTACGACTTGGGGGTGGGGGGGGGGGGAGCGGGTCTGTTCTTGTTCTTCTAAAAAATGGGGTCCTTATACTCAAGGAGGGCATGACCTGAATAAAAACAGGTTGGAGACCACCACTGATGTAGATTTTCAAATTCTAGTGTCCTGTGAAGTTTGTTGATGATGTCAGTGATAATGAACGAGTGTCCTATGAAGTTTGTTGATGATGTCAGTGATAATGAACGAGTGTCCTATGAAGTTTGTTGATGATGTCAGGGATAATGAACAAGTGTCCTGTGAAGTTTGTTGATGATGTCAGTGATAATGAACGAGTGTCCTATGAAGTTTGTTGATGATGTCAGTGATAATGAACAAGTGTCCTATGAAGTTTGTTGATGATGTCAGTGATAATGAACGAGTGTCCTATGAAGTTTGTTGATGATATCAGTGATAATGAACAAGTGTCCTATGAAGTTTGTTGATGATGTCAGTGATAATGAACGAGTGTCCTATGAAGTTTGTTGATGATGTCAGTGATAATGAACAAGTGTCCTATGAAGTTTGTTGATGATGTCAGTGATAATGAACGAGTGTCCTATGAAGTTTGTTGATGATATCAGTGATAATGAACAAGTGTCCTGTGAAGTTTGTTGATGATGTCAGTGATAATGAACGAGTGCCCTTTGAAGTTTGTTGATGATGTCAGTGATAATGAACAAGTGTCCTGTGAAGTTTGTTGATGATGTCAGTGATAATGAACGAGTGCCCTTTGAAGTTTGTTGATGATGTCAGTGATAATGAACAAGTGTCCTATGAAGTTTGTTGAAGATGTCAGTGATAATGAACAAGTGTCCTATGAAGTTTGTTGATGATATCAGTGATAATGAATGAGTGTCCTATGAAGTTTGTTGATGATGTCAGTGATAATGAACAAGTGTCCTATGAAGTTTGTTGATGATGTCAGTGATAATGAACAAGTGTCCTATGAAGTTTGTTGATGATGTCAGTGATAATGAACGAGTGTCCTATGAAGTTTGTTGATGATGTCAGTGATAATGAACGAGTGTCCTATGAAGTTTGTTGATGATGTCAGTGATAATGAACGAGTGCCCTGTGAAGTTTGTTGATGATGTCAGTGATAATGAACAAGTGTCCTATGAAGTTTGTTGATGATGTCAGTGATAATGAACGAGTGTCCTATGAAGTTTGTTGATGATATCAGTGATAATGAACAAGTGTCCTGTGAAGTTTGTTGATGATATCAGTGATAATGAACGAGTGTCCTATGAAGTTTGTTGATGATGTCAGTGATAATGAACAAGTGTCCTGTGAAGTTTGTTGATGATATCAGTGATAATGAACAAGTGTCCTGTGAAGTTTGTTGATGATGTCAGTGATAATGAACGAGTGTCCTGTGAAGTTTGTTGATGATATCAGTGATAATGAACAAGTGTCCTGTGAAGTTTGTTGATGATGTCAGTGATAATGAACAAGTGTCCTGTGAAGTTTGTTGATGATGTCAGTGATAATGAACGAGTGTCCTATGAAGTTTGTTGATGATGTCAGTGATAATGAACGAGTGCCCTATGAAGTTTGTTGATGATATCAGTGATAATGAACAAGTGTCCTGTGAAGTTTGTTGATGATGTCAGTGATAATGAACGAGTGTCCTATGAAGTTTGTTGATGATGTCAGTGATAATGAACAAGTGTCCTATGAAGTTTGTTGATGATGTCAGTGATAATGAACGAGTGTCCTATGAAGTTTGTTGATGATATCAGTGATAATGAACAAGTGTCCTGTGAAGTTTGTTGATGATGTCAGTGATAATGAACGAGTGCCCTTTGAAGTTTGTTGATGATGTCAGTGATAATGAACAAGTGTCCTGTGAAGTTTGTTGATGATGTCAGTGATAATGAACGAGTGCCCTTTGAAGTTTGTTGATGATGTCAGTGATAATGAACAAGTGTCCTATGAAGTTTGTTGAAGATGTCAGTGATAATGAACAAGTGTCCTATGAAGTTTGTTGATGATGTCAGTGATAATGAACGAGTGTCCTATGAAGTTTGTTGATGATGTCAGTGATAATGAACGAGTGTCCTATGAAGTTTGTTGATGATGTCAGTGATAATGAACAAGTGTCCTGTGAAGTTTGTTGATGATGTCAGTGATAATGAACAAGTGTCCTATGAAGTTTGTTGATGATATCAGTGATAATGAACAAGTGTCCTGTGAAGTTTGTTGATGATATCAGTGATAATGAACGAGTGTCCTATGAAGTTTGTTGATGATGTCAGTGATAATGAATGAGTGTCCTATGAAGTTTGTTGATGATGTCAGTGATAATGAACAAGTGTCCTGTGAAGTTTGTTGATGATATCAGTGATAATGAACAAGTGTCCTGTGAAGTTTGTTGATGATGTCAGTGATAATGAACGAGTGTCCTGTGAAGTTTGTTGATGATATCAGTGATAATGAACAAGTGTCCTGTGAAGTTTGTTGATGATGTCAGTGATAATGAACAAGTGTCCTGTGAAGTTTGTTGATGATGTCAGTGATAATGAACGAGTGTCCTATGAAGTTTGTTGATGATGTCAGTGATAATGAACGAGTGTCCTATGAAGTTTGTTGATGATGTCAGTGATAATGAATGAGTGTCCTATGAAGTTTGTTGATGATGTCAGTGATAATGAACAAGTGTCCTATGAAGTTTGTTTATGATGTCAGTGATAATGAACGAGTGTCCTTTGAAGTTTGTTGATGATGTCAGTGATAATGAACAAGTGTCCTGTGAAGTTTGTTGATGATGTCAGTGATAATGAACAAGTGTCCTATGAAGTTTGTTGATGATGTCAGTGATAATGAACGAGTGTCCTGTGAAGTTTGTTGATGATGTCAGTGATAATGAACGAGTGTCCTATGAAGTTTGTTGATGATGTCAGTGATAATGAACGAGTGTCCTATGAAGTTTGTTGATGATGTCAGTGATAATGAACGAGTGTCCTATGAAGTTTGTTGATGATGTCAGTGATAATGAACAAGTGTCCTGTGAAGTTTGTTGATGATGTCAGTGATAATGAACGAGTGTCCTATGAAGTTTGTTGATGATGTCAGTGATAATGAACGAGTGTCCTGTGAAGTTTGTTGATGATGTCAGTGATAATGAACGAGTGTCCTGTGAAGTTTGTTGATGATGTCAGTGATAATGAACAAGTGTCCTGTGAAGTTTGTTGATGATGTCAGTGATAATGAACGAGTGTCCTGTGAAGTTTGTTGATGATGTCAGTGATAATGAACGAGTGTCCTGTGAAGTTTGTTGATGATGTCAGTGATAATGAACAAGTGTCCTATGAAGTTTGTTGAAGATGTCAGTGATAATGAACGAGTGTCCTTTGAAGTTTGTTGATGATGTCAGTGATAATGAACAAGTGTCCTGTGAAGTTTGTTGATGATGTCAGTGATAATGAACAAGTGTCCTGTGAAGTTTGTTAATGATGTCAGTGATAATGAACGAGTGTCCTATGAAGTTTGTTGATGATGTCAGTGATAATGAACGAGTGTCCTGTGAAGTTTGTTAATGATGTCAGTAAGACTGTAGACATTTTATGTTTCAGGTTACGGCTTGGACAAAGGCGGCATATCCTGTCTTATCTATAACAACATGGTAGTTAATCAGAGCATCATATACCTGGATGTCCTGCCCTGGTTCACCAGGGTCTTCTTTAACTCACTGACTGTCACCAACAACGGCACCAGGCTTCCTTGTAAGTGTCATTGACATTAATTCTCCTTGTCAGTTCCATTTACACGAATGTTCCTTGTAAGTGTCATCGACATCAATTCTCCTTGTCAGTTCTATTTACACGAATGTTCCTTGTAAGTGTCATTGACATCAATTCTCCTTGTCAGTTCTATTCACACAAATGTTCCTTGTAAGTGTCATTGACATCAATTCTCCTTGTCAGTTCCATTCACACAAATGTTCCTTGTAAATGTCATTGACATCAATTCTCCTTGTCAGTTCTATTTACACGAATGTTCCTTGTAAGTGTCATTGACATCAATTCTCCTTGTCAGTTCCATTTACACAAATGTTCCTTGTAAGTGTCATTGATATCAATTCTCCTTGTCAGTTCCATTTACACGAATGTTCCTTGTAAGTGTCATTGACATCAATTCTCCTTGTCAGTTCTATTTACATGAATGTTCCTTGTAAGTGTCATTGACATCAATTCTCCTTGTCAGTCCTATTTACACGAATGTTCCTTGTAAGTGTCATTGACATCAATTCTCCTTGTCAGTTCCATTTACACGAATGTTCCTTGTAAGGGGCAGTAGTTTCTCTCTAAGTTGTTTATTGTGTAATGAATCAGTTTTTAGAAGGCTGGATGTAGACCACTGACAGAATATATTCTATATGATTGTGTTTCTCTGTTTCTTCTTCATTGTGTTCACTGGCTGTAAACCCAGTGGGCATTTCTAGGTTTTCATGCTTTTCTGGACTTGAGTCTTGTCACACAACTTGAGTTTTGCATGCATATCCATTTTACAAATCAGGCTTGTTTGTACACAGTCTGTTGGTTCCTAGCCTCTCAGGCAAGGGGAGCTACTTCTGTGGCGACAGGGGGAGCCACCTTTGTGGCCAGAGGAGCCACCTATATGGCCAGGGGAGCCACCTGTGTGGCCAAGGGAGCCACCTGTGTGGCCAGGGGAGCTGCCTGTGTGACCAGGGGAGCCGCCTGTGTGGCCAGGGGAGTCACCTGTGTGGCCAGGGGAGTCACCTGTGTGGCCAAGGGAGCCGCCTGTGTGGCCAAGGGAGCCGCCTGCGTGGGGAAGGGAGCTGCCTGTGTGACCAGGGGAGCCACCTGTGTGGGGAAGGGAGCTGCCTGTGTGACCAGGGGAGCCACCTGCGTGGGGAAGGGAGCTGCCTGTGTGGCCAGGCCAGCCACCTGCGTGGGGGGGGGAGCTGCCTGTGTAGCCAGGGGAACCACCTGCGTGGGGAGGGGAGCTGCCTGCGTGGGGAGGGGAGCTGCATGTGTGGCCTGGGGAGCTGCGTGGGGAGGGGAGCTGCCTGTGTGGCCAGGGGAGCTGCCTGTTTGGCCTAGAGAGCGGACTATGGCTTTAAATTTTTTAAATTTCAAAACTGACTTTGGATTGCAGGTCTACCCAGCATAAACTGTGAGTATGAGGCTGACCACATCAGCCACTGACTGCTGATTGGCTGATAATATGCCCGACATACCACTGTCATAATAAGGTTTTCTTTGTCTTTGACTTTACATAAGTTTCAAACCATATGTACAGAGTTAACCAATGATGTATTTACTTGTACATAAAGAATGACATAACAACATATTGTCTTCATTTTTTTATTATCCAGTTAAAGTTCACTACGTGCCAGGGAAAGACAGGTCAAGACCACACCAGCTGGAGCTGAGTTTCAACCTTTGGCCTCATTCTGTCACCCAAGTGTCCTTCACATTCACTCGAGCTTTCTTGAAGTGGACCGAGTATCCACCTGATGCCAACCATGGTTTTTATATCGACTCTGCAACCATCACGGCTATCCTGGCAACATCCAGGGGCTATACAGCCACACCCCAACATTCCTCCTGCCTGGAGTCTATGTAAGTGTTACGTAATGCTCCGTCATGTTGCTGCTGTCTCTAAGTGGTAAATAGTTGAGTTATAAGTTACTTAAATTTGTCTAATAATTAAGTAATTAATGTGAGTTGTAGACTATCTCTCAGTCCTTCAGAAAGAGAATAAGGGCTTTTGAGCTGAAATGCTATAGAAAGATTCTCAGAATATCTTGGACAAAGAAGAGGAGAAATACTGACATCTTGAAAGATCTGAACATCAAGGAAGATTGGCTAATAAACAGCATACTGTCTCGGAAGCTGAAATATTTTGGTCATATCAAGCGCCACGACGGATTGGACAAAGTTATAGCAGAAGGCATGGTGCCAGGAAGGAGGGGCAGGTGCCGACCAACACAATGATGGGCACAGGATATAAGTGACTCCTTGAGTATGAAAGTACATGAGGCGAGAGACCGAGTTTCTTTCAGGCAGACTATGATGAGAGCGACATTCTGCAAATGACCTGCAACATGAGGATGATGATTAAGTAATTTGTATACCAAATACCAGATCTCTGATTAAATTCATATATAAAAACTATATAATCAGATAGTGAACAGGGAGTCTGTAGGTGTAGTCCGCAGTAGAAAATAATGTTTGTGCATAGCCGAGAGGTCAGCATCATGTGACCTGATATTTGTTTTGTTTACAGCATCTGGGGACTGACTACATAAGATCTATTTCAGGCAGCCTCCATGTTTGTAGTCTCAGTGATCAGTCATTTATGTTCTCTTCAACATCTCTTATGTTTGTAATCTCAGTGATCAGTCATTTATGTTCTCTTCAACATCTCTTATGTTTGTAGTCTCAGTGATCAGTCATTTATGTTCTCTTCAACATCTCTTATGTTTGTAGTCTCAGTGATCAGTCATTTATGTTCTCTTCAACATCTCTTATGTTTGTAGTCTCAGCGATCAGTCATTTATGTTCTCTTCAACATCTCTTATGTTTGAAGTCTCAGTGATCAGTCATTTATGTTCTCTTCAACATCTCTTATGTGTGTAGTCTCAGTGATCAGTCATTTATGTTCTCTTCAACATCTCTTATGTGTGTAGTCTCAGTGATCAGTCATTTATGTTCTCTTCAACATCTCTTATGTTTGTAGTCTCAGTGATCAGTCATTTATGTTCTCTTCAACATCTCTTATGTTTGTAGTCTCAGTGATCAGTCATTTATGTTCTCTTCAACATCTCTTATGTTTGTAGTCTCAGTGATGTTGTTGTTATCGATCCAGCGGCGCATGAGCTTTCGCCCTTTGGCCCAATGCCATGAAGTGGAATTTGCATGTTTTCACAAGCTGTTCTTTTCCTCCGTACAAGGTGTTCCACTTGTCTGGTCTCGGAGGGAGTAGCGTTCTTCTTGTCTCACTGAGTTCTGGGCACTCAAAGAGATGGTGTTCAACAGTTTCGTAGGGGTAGTTACATAGCTGGCACTCTGGGGAGTGTTGTGGCTGTATTCTGTTTAAGTGTCCATTGAGTGGAGTATGCTGCGTTCTAAGTCTGAAGATGGTGGCCTGGTCCCTTCTTGTTAGATGGTTAATGCTGTCATTAGGATCAGGGCCAGACATATGTCTATAAACCTCTCTTCCAGTGTCTCCCATGGCCCATCTGTTCAACCAAGTCTCTTTGTTTATAGCTCTTATCAGTGTTTGAAGTCTCAGTGATCAATCATTTATGTTCTCTTCAACATCTCTTATGTTTGAAGTCTTAGTTGAAAGTAAATTATATTTTCTTCAACATCTCTTATGTTTGTAGTCTTAATGATAAGTAATTTATATTCTGTCTATTAACATTTCTCATATTTGTGATTTGAGTAATGAGCAAGGCTTTTTTTTTTTCCGGTGGTAGGCAAGGTTACGCAGGTTTTTTTTCATCTTTACTGTAATAGACACTTTGTAGAGAGTACTGGCACCTTTTGAGATACTTTGCGGTGAGAACTGGCACCTTTTGAGATACTTTGCGGTGAGAACTGGCACCTTTTGAGATACTTTGCGGTGAGAACTGGGGCCTTTTTCTACGAAAAAAGTCCTGGGGATAATTTATATTCTGTTCAGCTGTTCACGCTAATATTCCTCATATTTGAGGTTTTAAGTGATACGTAATTTATATTCTTTCAATAATATTGCTCATATGTGTACATTATGTATATTTTGTCAGTAATTTTCGTAATGTTTGTGGTTTTGATACATAGTTTATATTCTTTCAATAACATTCCTCAAATTTGTAATCTTTCTAGGTGATAAATAATTTATATCCTGTCTACCGTTTATCTCATATTTATAATATATATATTATTTTATGTATTTTGTCAGTACTCAAAATTTTTGAAAACATGATTGGTTTGTTAAAGTAAATAAACTTGTTCCCCTGGCCTGTGATCAGCATGACAGACAACTCCAGCAGATTTCCCGTGCGTTTACACACAGAAAGTTTGCTGGTGTCCCTGCCGACCCCAGACTTCTCCATGCCTTACAATGTCATCTGTTTGGCCTGTACCGTGGTGGCCATCGCCTTCGGGAGTGTACACAACCTGACCACAAGAAGGTATCTTGTCTCTCACCTGTTAAGACTTCTTTTCCTTATTGATTATTGTCCTCTTTTTCTACCTTCCTCTTCTTATTTTTTCCTCATCCTCTTTTTCTACCTTCTTCTTATTTTTTCCTCATCCTCTTCCTTCTTCCAGTTCTCTTTCTTAATCTTCCTCTTTGACCTTCTCTTTGCTTCCACTTTCTTCATTCAACCTGAAAAGAATGTTGGTTGTACATGTCTGTCTCATGGCTTATCTGAAATATTTGTATATTTTTGTTGACACATCAAATGCCAGCAACACATTGTCGTCAGTTCTGTCACCATCTTTACTCGCTGTCACATGTTCACCTGCTACAAATATCAAGTAGTGACCAGATTGTTATGTCACATAGCAGTCTTGCTAGATCAGCAACCATTTAGCAGTGTGGCTAGATAAGCAACCATTTTAGCAATGTTGCTAGATCAGCAACCATTTAACAATGTTGCTTGATCAGCAACCATTTAGCAATGTTTCTAGATCAGCAACCATTTAGCAATGTTGCTAGATCAGCAACCATTTAGCAGTGTGGCTAGATCAGCAACCATTTAGCAATGTTGCTAGATCAGCAACCATTTAACAATGTTGCTTGATCAGCAACCATTTAACAATGTTGCTAGATCAGCAACCATTTAGCAATGTTGCTAGATCAGCAACCATTTAGCAATGTTGCTAGATCAGCAACCATTTCCCATCTGCTACTGTCCCCCACATAGTGAGCACATGTAGTCTTCAAGTGTTTGATGTCAGGTCAGAAACTGGGTCGGCTTGGGGTATCTGGGAAGATCAAAAGTTCTCCTACAAGTGGATGTGAACTCCACTGGAAAGTTCTGGTTGTTCATCCATTTCTTAGCTGGAGATGGAGGCCAGAGCCCCAAGTTGCTGTCTCCAATCCCCCAAGGTTGGTGTCCGCATTTCTCTGGTTGTAATTCGCTGTCCCTTTGTGGTTCTGGGGCTCCATTTTGGAGAAGATGTGTGGCAGTGGTATCTCATTACTGTTAGGGTCCCGCAGATCTGCGTCACATGGTCAGAACCAAACTGAGAGAGAAAGAGACTAAACTGCTTCTTTGTGATAGATTCTGGAAGTGTAGTAGATTCAAGGCTTAAATTCAAAAGACTCACTTTATGGTAACAGGAGTAGCCTCGACAAGGTTAAAAGGTACTTCTAAACAAAACTGTAAGGTGCCTGAATATTTCAGGCTAGAAGAAAAAGATTAGCATTTTTTAATTTTTTTTTTAATCCACCATGTACATTTAAAAATCTGTTCATCTCTGTGTACTTGTGACCCAGATTTGAGAAGCTTGACCCATCAGCAAAGAAGGGTATCCTAACCAAGGTCAAGGGCTTTTTAAGCAAGTTACGGTCAAAGAAAGCTTCTCCGGAGAAGCAGACTAACAACGCAAGTCATCCAGAAGACACAGATACTTCGGATAATCAAAACGAGCTGAAGAATGAGAACAGTTCCGCAAAATCTAGTAGTTGATCTGACAACAGTTCTCACAGACATTTTTATACATTGATTAAATTCTGTCTGGGAGATGACTAGATAAACAGTTGCAGGAGTAGATGAGGTTCACATGCCAGGAGAGATGTTTGTTTGTTTGTTTAAAATAGAATATTCGCTGAAAGGATTGTAAGTTTTATATGTTTACAAGTCAGATTAAAATGTTTTGTGTGTGTATGAAAAGTGGTTAAATTATTGTAATTGTAAAAATATAGTAAAGCGCACACAGAACCCATCTCCACAGGGTTACGTTTTTTGGGTTTCTAGGGCCAGTTCTGTATTTTTAAAGACTTATTGGTCATCGATGGGTGAACGGTGTGAAAAACCTGCCTTTATTTCCAAGAACATTTTCTGCTGCCCATTTTAGTTGATCCGAGGACCTTGGTCAAACAGGAACAGATCCTGACCCTAGTGAACAGTCAAACATGTGCCTACTGTGCCTACAGACAAGCAATCATGAACATTGCTTATTGTTCCAGTAGTTTTCTAGAAAGTGTGAAAGGAGTGTTGGTATGAGAGGTGTTATTGTGAGAAGAGTGTTGGTATGAGAGGTGTTAATGTGAGAAGAGTGTTGGTGTGAGGGGTGTTAATGTGAGAAGAGTGTTGATGTGAGGTGTGTTAATGTGAGAAGAGTGTTGGTGTGAGGGGTGTTATTGTGAGAAGAGTGTTGGTGTGAGGGGTGTTATTGTGAGAAGGGTGTTGATGTGAGGGGTGTTAATGTGAGAAGAGTGTTGGTGTGAGGGGTGTTAATGTGAGAAGAGTGTTGGTGTGAGGTGTGTTAATGTGAGAAGAGTGTTGGTGTGAGGTGTGTTAATGTGAGAAGAGTGTTGGTGTGAGGTGTGTTAATGTGAGAAGAGTGTTGGTGTGAGGGGTGTTATTGTGAGAAGAGTGTTGGTGTGAGGGGTGTTAATGTGAGAAGAGTGTTGGTGTGAGGTGTGTTAATGTGAGAAGAGTGTTGGTGTGAGGTGTGTTAATGTGAGAAGAGTGTTGGTGTGAGGTGTGTTAATGTGAGAAGAGTGTTGGTGTGAGGGGTGTTATTGTGAGAAGAGTGTTGGTGTGGGGGGTGTTATTGTGAGAAGAGTGTTGGTGTGAGGGGGGGGGGGGGGGGGGTTATGTGAGGGGTGTTAGTGTGTGGGATGGGAAGATCTGATATATAGATGTCTTACAGGTTGGCAGAAATACATTCCACTGTAACTGCAAACTGTTAACTCTAACAGAACAACTTTAGGCCAGACATGTGTTTGTTGTTCCTGCAGCAGCAATCAAAATTGTTTTGTTGTTGTATCATTTTTTGTCCCTCTCATATGTATTTCTTTATTGTATGCCATAAGCAAGTGGTACGTATGTGCTACCAAAAACAGCACACGGCACTGGAGAAGGCTTCAGCAGAGATTTGAATATGTGAAATAGCTAGTAAATATGACTTCTGCATGCCAAGAGCAAGCCTAATCTAACTTTTTTGTGTGAAGAGTAAAGCACCATTTATTTCACTATGTAAAGTAAGTCTAATTAACTTCTACCTGTATAGAACAGATTTGATGTATATGGGTGAGGAGTAAGGCAAATTTGACAGTTTCTCTTGCATGGGCTCACTGGCCCCATTGTAGGGAAACAAGAACTAACCCACTGCTCCGTACCAAGCATGTTGAATGAAGAAATGATGTCATCGCACTCCGTCCTCACATCTTCAGTAGCTGGCAAAGAGCTCCTATTCCAGTGGCACCAGTAACGGTCTGATTTTACATTGGTCTCCCCTTTCCTGTGAGTGTTGAGCATCAGCCAGATCCCTTCTAACTCCCGGCAGCACCATTATCTGATGAAAGATGTTTCACAGAGATAAAGAACAGAACAGAACAGGCTAAAACTGCATTTTATCAAATGAAGAACATTTTGTGCAATGAATCCATGTCACTGGAAGTTAGAAACGGAATTATTGCGTGCTATTTGAGTCCGTTTTAACATATGGCTGAATCCTGAACAATTATAAAGAAGACCAACAGTTTCTTAAGGTCTCAGAAATTTGGTTTTACAGAATTCTTAACACTCCTTGAACAGCTAAAAAAGTGCAACCCAGATGTTTTAAAAGAGGCCAGATCTTGACAACATCACAAATATCAGAAAAAGACAGTCATAATTGTTTGGTCATATTATGAGAAGAAGGAAACTGGAACATGTTGTGACAACTGGAAGGATTTGGGGAAAAAGCGCGCACACACACACACATGCAAGCACGTGCACACACGCACACACTGTTACATGCTGTCGAAGACCACAGATTGTGCAGAGGCATGATCACCCACACCAGTCAGTAAGGCACTTGATGATAGTAATACGAATCGGATGTCTGCCTGTGAAGAGTTTTTAGCATATCTATCTTCTTGTGTGAAGAGTTTTTAGCATATCTATCTTCTTGTGTGAAGAGTCGCCTGACTCAATGTATTCTCTGTTCTGTTTGTGAGGTTACTAATGCTTTATTGATGTTCACTTGTTGATTTTGATAATTAAAAATCAGTTGCAAACCAAAACATTGCTTCTGTTGCCTTAAGATAAATTTGTAATGTTGAATTGATTTTGTTTAGGGCATTTTCTGTGTATACAACACAAAAAGATGGACTGAAAGAAGCCTGCATAAGTGTGCCCTAAAGACAGGTCTGCCAAAGTTGAAACGTTGCCGAGAACCTACCTTGTTGATTGATAGATCAAATTATTCTTCACCAGCTCAGCTGTAGTCCTGGTTGCTAAAAAAATGTTATTACAGGCTTTCTCTAGAGGGACAGAGGAAGATCTGGATACAGAAATTAGAATGTAGCTGATTGGATGAGCCTCAAATATGTAAGTCTCAAGTCAGTTATATCTGACTGACCAGCAATCACCAACAGCAACTGGTGACCCATCAGCGTGTGGTGTTACCTGACTGATGATGAGGAAGTCTGGGTGAAGGAATCAGTTCAGAACTTACACAGATGTGCCTCTTCTTTATCAGCTAATGAAGAGTCTCCAGATTGAGGATGTCAGTAGTTTATTCTCATCATGTTTCTAGAGTGAGGATGTCAGTAGTTTATTCTCATCATGTTTCTAGAGTGAGGATGCCAGTAGTTTATTCTCATCATGTTTCTAGAGTGAGGATGTCAGTAGTTTATTCTCATCATGTTTCTAGAGTGAGGATGTCATTAGTTTATTCTCATCATGTTTCTAGATTGAGGATGTCAGTAGTTTATTCTCATCATGTTTCTAGAGTGAGGATGCCAGTAGTTTATTCTCATCATGTTTCTAGATTGAGGATGTCAGTAGTTTATTCTCATCATGTTTCTAGATTGAGGGTGCCAGTAGTTTATTCTCATCATGTTTCTAGATTGAGGGTGTCAGTAGTTTATTCTCATCATGTTTCTAGATTGAGGATGTCAGTAGTTTATTCTCATCATGTTTCTAGAGTGAGGATGTCAGTAGTTTATTCTCATCATGTTTCTAGAGTGAGGATGTCAGTAGTTTATTCTCATCATGTTTCTAGAGTGAGGATGTCAGTAGTTTATTCTCATCATGTTTCTAGAGTGAGGATGCCAGTAGTTTATTCTCATCATGTTTCTAGAGTGAGGATGCCAGTAGTTTATTCTCATCATGTTTCTAGAGTGAGGATGCCAGTAGTTTATTCTCATCATGTTTCTAGAGTGAGGATGTTAGTAGTTTATTCTCATCATGTTTCTAGAGTGAGGATGTCAGTAGTTTATTCTCATCATGTTTCTAGAGTGAGGATGTCAGTAGTTTATTCTCATCATGTTTCTAGAGTGAGGATGTCAGTAGTTTATTCTCATCATGTTTCTAGAGTGAGGATGTCAGTAGTTTATTCTCATCATGTTTCTAGAGTGAGGATGTCAGTAGTTTATTCTCATCATGTTTCTAGAGTGAGGATGTCAATAGTTTATTCTCATCATGTTTCTAGAGTGAGGATGCCAGTAGTTTATTCTCATCATGTTTCTAGAGTGAGGATGTTAGTAGTTTATTCTCATCATGTTTCTAGAGTGAGGATGTTAGTAGTTTATTCTCATCATGTTTCTAGAGTGAGGATGTCAGTAGTTTATTCTCATCATGTTTCTAGAGTGAGGGTGTCAGTAGTTTATTCTCATCATGTTTCTAGATTGAGGATGCCAGTAGTTTATTCTCATCATGTTTCTAGATTGAGGGTGTCAGTAGTTTATTCTCATCATGTTTCTAGAGTGAGGATGCCAGTAGTTTATTCTCATCATGTTTCTAGATTGAGGGTGCCAGTAGTTTATTCTCATCATGTTTCTAGATTGAGGGTGTCAGTAGTTTATTCTCATCATGTTTCTAGATTAAGGGTGTCAGTAGTTTATTCTCATCATGTTTCTAGATTGAGGATGTCAGTAGTTTATTCTCATCATGTTTCTAGATTGAGGGTGCCAGTAGTTTATTCTCATCATGTTTCTAGAGTGAGGATGTCAGTAGTTTATTCTCATCATGTTTCTAGAGTGAGGGTGTCAGTAGTTTATTCTCATCATGTTTCTAGATTGAGGGTGTCAGTAGTTTATTCTCATCATGTTTCTAGAGTGAGGGTGTCAGTAGTTTATTCTCATCATGTTTCTAGAGTGAGGATGTCAGTAGTTTATTCTCATCATATTTCTAGAGTGAGGGTGCCAGTAGTTTATTCTCATCATGTTTCTAGAGTGAGGATGTCAGTAGTTTATTCTCATCATGTTTCTAGAGTGAGGATGCCAGTAGTTTATTCTCATCATGTTTCTAGATTAAGGGTGCCAGTAGTTTATTCTCATCATGTTTCTAGATTGAGGGTGTCAGTAGTTTATTCTCATCATGTTTCTAGAGTGAGGATGTCAGTAGTTTATTCTCATCATGTTTCTAGAGTGAGGATGTCAGTAGTTTATTCTCATCATGTTTCTAGATTGAGGGTGCCAGTAGTTTATTCTCATCATGTTTCTAGAGTGAGGATGTCAGTAGTTTATTCTCAT